TAAATTTAAAATACTAAGGATTGCTTGGTCCAAGATAGGAACAGTAACTAATAGCAGGCATCTTAAGAACAAGTTCCGTTCCTAATTCTGTCTTTACCCAAAATCTGTACGTAAGTCGCAACTCGTACTTATGAATGGACTGCCCGTTACTAAAAATGCTGGACAGTGTTGTCTTTCCTCAAACCGATGGACCACTGAAGCCACCCAGTGCTTTTCCTGAACCACTGAAAACAGGGTATATATTAAAAACATGCACCCTGAGTGTCCCAAAGGTGTTTTCCAAAAGGCAGGTTTTGGGTTTTTTTCCTTTGAAAATGTTTCATTTCTCATCCAAGAAGCTTCTTCGGTTCCTGAACTGAATGGAAGAAGCTTCTTGGGCGAGAAGCAAAACGTTTTCTAAGAAGAGGAAGAGGAAGAGGAAGAGGAAGAGGAAGAGGAAGAAGAAGAAGAAGAAGAAGAAGAAGAAGAAGAAGAAGAAGAAGAAGAAGAAGAAGAAGAAGAAGAAGAAGAAGAAGAAGAAGAAGAAATAGAAGAAGAAATAGAAGAAGAAATAGAAGAAGGAGAAGAAGAAAAAAACCCCAAGTAAGTCCACTTGCCTTTTGGAAAAGCAGCTTTGGGACCGCAACGACCTGGATGATGGAGCATCTCCTAGACGGGCACCTTGAGTGGTTCCAGAAAGCATCACACGGCTGCAGCGCTTCGTGGAAGGATAACACCATCCACCATTTTTAGGAATTAGTTCGTGTCTAGGCTGACAACTTAAGCTGAATGTTCTTCAACTGAGGATTGCCTGTATCTGCAACCAAAGCATTAAAGCAATGTCATTTCAATAAAGAAAACATGCCTTACAGCATCTGCCCCCTCCTTTTAGGAAGGAAAAAAAATTTAAATGTTAACCTTCAGGCGTCAACAATGCCTCGCAACTGTACTGCGTGGTGCCATATGGCAATCCGCGGAATTCATGCAGGAGTCAAAACAAAGAAGCAAGCACAATCTTATGAAGCCATAGACAAAAACAACAACCCTCCAAAGCTATTTACTAGCAACAGGGAGCAGAGATTCACACCTTCCTTGA